AGCTGCCTTTCTTTTATTTGCCAAAGATGCAATCCTCGCATAGTCCGACATCTACATTCTTTAGATCCGACAGCTTCCCTTTTGACAAAAGTGTTTTCATCCCTTTCTCGCTCATATGACCAAGCCTTTGGTGCCATAGGTTTGATTTTCTATCAGCATCTACTGCTGCAATGATATTCTCTAAGTTTGAGGTTACATATAGAGTATCAGTCTTCTTACCACGAGCAATGACGAGTGCTCCTTTGGTAATCTTCCATTCACAGCCTGAAAAGGTTATACTATAATCTTCTCATCAAGTTGTCCTACAGAAATCAAATTTCTTTTGAGGCCAGGAATATGTCTCACTCTTTTCAGCGTCCAGGTGGTATTGTTTGGCAACTTTAGTCGGATGTCTCCTTTTCCGACGATCTTCAAGATTTCATCATCAGCTAGATGAACCTTCCTAAAATCACCACTAACATAGTTCTCCATGATTTTTCGGCATGGGGTGGAGTGGAAAAATGCCCCTGAATCCAAGTTCCATGATTCAATCGGACTGTTGACGCTTAGAATCATGGCATCACCAGACTCCTCTGTCACGTTTGCAGATTCCTGTGCGCCGGTATTTTTCTTCGGTGCTCGACAATCTCTTTTAAAATGACCCTTCTTGTCGCAATTATAACAGGTAAAATCTTTCTTTCTCGTCCTTGATTTTCCCCTTCTGGATTTGGATCTACCACGATTTGAATTTCTTTCTGAAGTTCTCCCTCTAGACTCTGTGTGCAAGGCTGAGGAGGTTGAAGCTTCACCCGATTCTTTCCGTCGAATTTCTTCGCTCAGTACCAGATCCCGAATATCGTCGAATTTTAATTTGTTGTTTCCCGACGAGTTGTTGACTGCTGTAACAGTAGCATTCCAACTGTCTGGTAGAGATGATAAAAGAATTAAAGCTCGAACTTCATCATCGAATTCAATTTCCACGGAACTCAACTGGGTTGTGATTGTGTTGAGTTCATTCAGGTGTTGAGCCACTGATGCCCCTTCCGCTATCCGCAAATTGAATAATCGCCTCATCAAGTGAACTTTTTTGAGGCTGATGGCTTCTCATACATACTGGAGAGAGCCGCCATAAGACCTGTCGTGGTCTTTTCCTTTGCTATGTTGAAAGCAACATTGCGGGACAACGTCAATCGGATAACTCCGAAGGCTTGTCTATTGAGAAGAGCCCAGTCTTCATTCTTCATGCCCTCATGTTGCTTTCCTGAGAGAGATTGATATAGATTTTTCTGGTATAGAAAATCTTTAATCTACATATTCCAAAAGCCAAAGTCCGCACCATCGAACTTTTCAATTTTCATCTTCCCTTTGTCTGCAACCATCACTTCCACTCGAATCTGGCTTCGTTTGGATTGTTTTTGACAATCTTTGCGAACCACCGTGTATTAGAACACATCCGTCGACAAATTCGTATCGCCGACAAATTTTTTACTATTCACGTGAACAGTAATGAATAGTAACCTCGTAAAAAATTGATAAAATTCACAACCAAAAGCTTTGATACCAGTTGTTGGGAAATAAATCGAGAACGAGTAATTTTCCTATAATCAGATTAGTGAGAATGCGAAATAAAAGCGGAAAAATAATATCTGAAATTGATAACGGAGTTCAGCCAATTTGCTTACGTCTCCAGACTACTGCAGATATTTTACTAAGAGAGAAAATTTACAGGTGTTTACAAAACACTCACAACTCACAAGAAAGCTCTCTAATATTGGGAGAAATAAATAATTTTTGGGATGATTTTGAAGCTTAATGAGCTAGGGTATTTATAGTTGAATCTTAAGGATTAATCTTGTAGTTACCCTAAAATACAATGACTAAATGTATGATTTAACTATTACCATTTTCAACACAAAATTTTCAAACTTTGAAATAAGCACCATTCGGTGCCTACCCTTTATTTGAAAACGTGCATCTAGGCAGTGCCCCAATTCCTACCTTTTTTGACTTTTCCTCCAACATATACTGCCCAGAATATGACCATCGCCAAGCCGGTAAATCCTCGCCCAAGTCATCCTGGGGAGGAGTTGCCAAGCACGCGTTTAAGAACGTCGCCGTCAAGATGCTGGGAGAGAAGTTGAATGTTCCAAGTGCCCTCCAAATTAACATATCCAGATACCATTGCTTGAGGATTATAGATTCGGTTTGTGACTCCATTTTTAGCAAGAGGGCCCAACCCCGGGATCTACACATTGAACCAAAAGCTAGTCTTTCTCCTTTTACCAATAGATCATTGGACATTATCGTGAACACAATCCCAAATATGAGTGAGGGTCTTCCAGATAAAGGACTCATTTGTAGCCTTTAAATGACAAGAGAAAAGTTCTTTCACCTTATATTTAGCCCTCAAGATCTGAACTCAAAGTGCATCCAGCTTCATAATCAAATTATACCCCAATTTAACGAAAAGGCTTTGTTTTGAGTATGGACCGGCTGAATGTCGTGCCTGCCACGACCGTGAGATTGACAACAGCTACTCCACTTGACAAGTGAAGCTTTCGGGGATCCTCTTTCGCTACCTTAGATAAATTGGTGGGCAATTTGTTCAATTTTTCTCACAAACCCCTTTAGAAATTAGAACTATCTGCATGAAGTAATTGGGAATGACAAGTAAGGTCGATTTCGCAAGAGTCACTCTTCCGGCTAGCGAAAGCTAAGAAGCGATCCAACCATTAAGTTTATTATGGATTTTGTCGAAGACGAACTGAAAGGTGCTTTTCGTCACCCTATTATGGAATAGGGGCATTCCAAGGTATTTGCCAAGATTTGTAGATAGTTGGAAGCCGAGGGATCCATAAGGGCATTCCAAGGTATTTGCCAATATTATTACTACCGAAAATATCTCGAACTCAAGTGCAGACAGAAGAACCAACAGTATCCCACTGGTTTTGAAATAAAATAGCAGGAAAGCATTAGTGATAGGATTGTCGAGATTCTGGATATCTTCTCTAGAGAGATAATGGAAAGCATTGCGGATAGGAAATCTGCCCGGGCTTCGCTCGTCACCCCAATAGAGCGTAGAAAAGAAAGAAGTGGCTTCCGATCAGAGAGTGTTTTCTTCAAAACACCACTCGCAATTGTTCAACTTGAGGGCTTGAATGCGGATGCTTTCATTCGTTGGATTGTCTTGCTATGGAAAAACTTAGTATTACGATCCCCGTTAAGGATCCACTCGCTTCTCGATTTTTGATACCAGAGAAGCTCCTCGTGCTTGAGAATCTCCTCTAGCTTGGTTCGCACTTCAAGCTCCTTGGCCATGATATGCTCATTCCCGTCTCTGTCTAAGGCAGTCTGAATATTGGCAAGCTGAAGTTTGAGTTTCATTTTTTCACCAATAATGTGACCGTAAACATTCCTGTTCCAAGTAGCCATAGAGTCAAGAAGATTACCCTTGGGGTTCTAGTTATTCCAGATGAAGATATTAAAATTCGGGTGCTTAGTCCAGCCCGCCAAAAAACAAAACGGTCGAGGTCTTAAGGGTGCAGGATAATCCATAGATTGAAGGAGAAGCGAGCGGTAATCCGATTTGATGCGAGGGAGATGATAAACTGAATAGGACGGAGCTGCATCGATCCATTCTCCGTTCACCACCACCCGATCTAGCCGCTAGAAGATCCCCCTGGGGTCCAAGTGAAGGGAGGTCCTTTAAAGCCAAGATCCGTTAGGTTAAAATGATTCAGAAACTCATGAAAATGAGGATACCCACGCCCTGGGTGAGAACCGTCTCTTTTCTCATCACAAGAAATGATATCATTAAAGTCCCCAGCTAAAATCCAGGGAGCACCACGGGGAACCGAAATAGTACAAAGATCTCTCCACAAAGCCAAACGTTTGCTCATGTTAGGGTTACCATAAAATAATAGTAACAAAAATGGGGTTAGAAGACGTTACCCACGAGAATTTAGAATGAATTTGGATGAGCTGGTACGATTTCAACAGTGAGATGGTCCTCCCAATGCATCCAAATGCCTCCCGAAAAACCGGTCGCTTCCACTCTATAGGAATTTTCATAACCAATCTTGTTAATCACCTGATCAACTTTTCGTCCGCTAATGCGAGTTTCGATGAGAGCCACCATATGGGGTGATGATCTTGCGCATACTCTTCTAAGATTTTCTGGAATTTTAGACCAAATGTGTGTTTAGACGGCATAACTAAACGAACTCTTAATATGTGGTGATTTTAACTCAAAAGATTAGATTCGAAAAGCCTAAAATCCAGTTCAAGCGGTGGTTCAACTACAAAATGAAAGAGTCACCCAAAAACACTTATTTCATAAGATAATGGAAACGGTGACGCTATATTCATAGAGCTTGAGATGTTTTCAATTAAACCAACATCGAATTTATGTTCAGATGGATAAAAATGAGCTTAATAAGAAAATTTGGGACTCATCATTTGTTGTTGACTACGAACAACGGTGGTTGACATAATGATCAATTGCAACAAGTGATGGTTGAATTCTGGACAGTGAAAGAAAAAGAGCAATAAAAAAAAAGGAAGAAATGAGGAAATAAAGGGCAAAAATGAATTTACCGAAAATAAAAATACGTAGTTTTGGTATAAATTTAATTTTTTTAAAATAATGTTATTTTTGTATTATATGTAATGTTATAATATCGTTAATTATTTAAGGATAGAGTAATAAAAATGGATCATTTAAAAATTAAGTGATTAAATTAAAAGAATTTTAAACTTTAATTATTAAAATAAGAATGAAAAGAAAATTAAAAGGATGGGTTTTTATAAGTTCTAATTATATGTATAAAAGTATCCACCTACTAATTACCACGTGAAAAAGAAAAAAGAAAACATTTGCATTTCATTTTCCTATCCGACCGTTTTTTAAATTATTAAATTTATTTATATTTTATTTTATAATTACGTTTCCCTAATAAAAAAATAAAAGAAAAGAAAAACATATCCACTCTATTTTTATTTGTAATTAATTATCTTCTCTTCCCAAGATTGTTTTAGAAAAAACAAAATTCCATTTCTCTCCCATATCTCCGCCTTCGGCAGAAACCTCTGCAACTCTAATTCTAGGGTTTTCTGTAAAGATTTTAACTTCAAACAAAAAGGAATGGCCTCGCCTCTCTCTATCAGACCGAACGTGCTCGTTCTATCTCCTTTCGTCAACCGAACCGGGCCACCCAATCCTCTATTTAAGCGAGCTCAATTTTCCAATCACCGACCATTTCTTCGCGGTTCACTATCCGTGGCCAAGTTCGGGTTCAAACCGGGGTTCTTGCCCGACCCGGATGCTTCCGAGGGTGCCATCAGAGAGCTGTTTACTAGAGCAGAAAGCTTTCTCTATACGATTGCTGACGCCGCCGTTTCGTCTTCAGACACGATTACTACCACCACGGCGACTACTGCTAAACAAAACAATGATTGGCTTTCGGGAATAGCCGACTCCATGGAAACTGTTTTGAAGGTAATTAAAAGTTCCTTTCTTTTTTCCTTTTTATTGACTTTTTTTTTCTTTGAGAAAATATCAACGTTGCTTGGGTTAAATTCGTCCAGGTTTTGAAGGATGGATTATCGGGTTTGCATGTGCCGTACGCTTATGGTTTTGCTATTATACTTCTGACTGTTCTGGTTAAGGCTGCTACGTTTCCCTTGACTAGGAAGCAGGTTCGTTGTTTAAGATAAAACCAAACAGAACAATAGAACTATATTTAGCAACAGAGGAGCTATTTCTCCATTCAGTATCACTTCATTAATATTTTGTGTTCTTTTATTGAAAAAAAAATGGTATGTTTCTTAGAGAAAAAAGGAGGTTTGGGTTTTGCCAAATTGTTCTTATATATTTTTTGTTTTTTGTTTTTGAGCGCAGGTAGAATCTACAATGGCCATGCGTTCCTTACAACCTCAAATAAAGGCTATTCAGCAGAAGTATGCTGGAGATCAGGTAAAATTTTGCATTTTGTTTAAAGCAGGGACGGTTGGCTCTACATTATTATTAATTAATTAGTTAATCTAACTCATAATTCTAGTTTCTGATTATGATATATTAATTAAATTGAAATTGTTTTAATCGTTGAGCTACTTTTCTTTTGTATTTGTAGGAGAGAATTCAACTGGAAACTGCTAGATTATATAAACTAGCTGGGATAAATCCATTAGCAGGTACTCATAATACATCCTATTCTCGTCACACTGCCTTATTAAACTCTGCATAATCCACTTACTGTTTTAATTTCCTAAAGCTTTTGAATTCCCGATACTTTATTTTATTTATTGTTTTCATCCTTTTTGTCTGTTGAATCTTTACTCTATTTCGTTATGTTCTATCTTAGTTGCCGGGATTTAAGAAAGTTTTGGACTTGTGTGTAAAATTTAAATGTTGGAGTAGCAAACTTTAAGTAATAGTAAATGTAATGCCACCATCTTCTATTTTGATTTCTTTTGGTCTTTGCTGATGTGGCATGTCAAAAGCAGTCTGCTTAAAGCAACACAGAAAGAAAGAGGGTCAGATTATCTTTGCGTCTGTTTGCTTCATAAAATCTTGGTCTTCTTCTAGCGGTATAACACCTTTTACACTTGATACGTGAGGTGACTCTGATTATATACATCTTTCATTGTTCTCTCTCCCCAGGATGCCTTCCTACTCTTGCCACAATCCCAGTGTGGATTGGGCTTTATCGAGCACTGTCAAATGTTGCAAATGAGGTAGTGTGCCATTTTTTTAGTTTTCTAATTTTAACATTTGCTTTCAAGAATTTCTTATTTCTAATCAAAAGTTGCATGTAGGGACTCCTCACGGAAGGCTTCTTTTGGATACCCTCTCTAGCTGGTCCAACTACAGTCGCTGCTCGACAGAATGGCAGCGGTATATCTTGGCTTTTCCCATTTGTAGTAAGTGTTTACTATTATTTGCAATTTCTCCCCTTTTTTGACTGTTAAATTTAATGGTTCATGTCTCTTGCTTGATTGTGAAATTTTTATTTGACAAATCTGGTGTTTGTTCTGATCCATGGTGGTATGCTTCTTTTCGTAGGATGGACACCCACCCCTTGGATGGTCAGATACATTTGCATATCTTGTGTTGCCTGTTTTGCTGGTTGTCTCGCAGTATGTCTCTGTCCAAATCATGCAATCAGCTCAGGTCAGTTATCCATGATTAATTAGCATAGTTCTATCTCATTTCTTTTATCTATTATTTAGCTTACTATACCCCACTTCAATGCTATTTATTTGTTAAAAAACAATATGTAGATATTTTGAGAAGTAGTTATTTTTAGTGTCCCTTCACTTTGTTTCTGTTTGACATACCTCAAAAAGATGTAGGCTAGTGTGACAAACATGATAATGTGCCGAGTCACAATGTTTTCATAGTTCCGCATATCTGTTACCGACTTGGATCTCATCTCATTTATGTACAATAAACTCTGCGCCTAATTTTAAGAAGAATGTTAAATCCTAGTAAATTTATCTCAGCCACAACAATGTATATCCACTTTATCTTTATGACTTCTTTATAAAAATTTCAGCTTTTTTTTTCATTTTTATCTTGGTGGTTCTGAGTTTTTTGTAGTCATGATGTTGCTAGAATGGAATTATTGTCTAATCTTGTTGGGAGAAGCTGACAAGTATTATTTTTTATATAAATACTGTTATGTGTTGCTTATCACGATTTTAGGTAGCTAGAACTAATTTACTATCATCGAACTTTCTCTTTTGTTCTCTTCATAGAGCAATGATCCCGACATGAAGAGTTCTCAAGCCTTGACGAAGTTCCTCCCTCTAATGATTGGCTATTTTGCTCTTTCAGTTCCTTCTGGTCTAAGTCTATATTGGTAAGCAGATTCAAAGCATCTCTATAAAATATTATGTTATACACCACATTATGTTGCTCTGCTTTTTATATCTTTCATGCCCTTAATTATGTATTTGCAGGTTAACAAATAACGTATTAAGTACGGCCCAACAAGTATGGCTTCAAAAGCTAGGAGGTGCAAAGAATCCAGCAAAGCAACTTAATGATGATACAATCAAGGAAGAGCAAATCCAGCTTGAGAAGTCTCTCTCCGAATTGAATGCCACTAGAAAGGAGGCCAAACAAGAAGTAAAATTGATGCCAGATGGGCTGCGTCCTGGTGATAGGTACTGGCAAATTTTGCTTATTTTCGAATGGCCTTTCTTGGAGGTGTAGTTGCTAATAGTTGTGTTTCATATCTTCCAGATTTAAGCAGCTAAAGGAGCAAGAGGCAAGAAGCAGACAACAAAGAGAAGAAGAAGCAAGGTGGAAAGCCCAAGAGGTAGCAGCTAAAGCTGATAAATCGACAAATGAGGGACATGAGGTCGAGGGTAGCATCATTGATAAAGAAAATGGTGGTGGAACTCGCTTAGGCATTGAAAACAAAGAGAAATATCAATCCGTGGCAGGCCAAGGTGCCTCTGGTATAGGAGTTGTGAACGGTGACCTCTCTTGTGGGGACTTGAAGGAAGATCAAAAGAAGGCTTCCTCATTTAACAAGAGCAATGGAGTTTCAGAACATGTAGAAAAGGTATAAATGATGGTTGGCTCACAAAAATTTCTTGGATCTTGTGTGCTTTTTCCCTATAATGGAAAGAAATTTATTTAAAGTCCCTTTTCTATTTCATTAGTAATCATTCATTTTCATTAGTTTTTTTGGTTATATCTATTTTCTAATTATCATGATATTTACTACATCTCAGGAAACAGTAGAAGTATACACCGGTACAGCCAATACAGATAACGAAGATTCTGAACAAGACACAGGAAGACAGGAAGGAGCGAAACAAGGTAATGATGAAGCCGGGATCTCGAGTTGACTAAGAGTGAGAGGCCCAGTTGATTTTGTCCGTTAAACCGGAAACAGGGAGCTGAATGATTTCTACCAGCTTCGTCTATAGTCGGTGCAGCAGCTTTCGGCACAACGGCATTTCTGTAGATTGAGGGGGTATATATGTTGGCCCTTCGGTGATATCTGGTTCATCATACACCCGGTGCATCAAGAACTCTACAAACAGAATGCGGTGCTATATATACGTTAATGGAGGTTTCATAGACACCTGTTGTAACTTCAAAATATGACGGATTTTGATCAAATGATTATTCTTACACCCATCGCCAAATACAACAAGTATCCTCACTTGGTAATGGAAATGGTCCTTCATTACAATTGCACCTGAAGTACAAAATACACCCACAATTTCAAACTCTTTTTATTTGTAATTTTTAAATCTTTGAAAAGAACTTAAAAAATGAATTATTAACTGATTAATATTAAATATAATTTTATTAATACTTAAATATTTAAAAAGAACTTAAAAAAAAAGGAAGGAATTGAAAAACATGATAGAATTAATTAGTCATATATAGTCTATAAAACTGACAAGAGGGGGAAAAAAGAAGAGGGAAAGTGTCCAGTTCCAATGTCCCCAATAATTGAGGCGTTGTATTTATAGATAGTAGGCATTATTAAATAAAAAAACTCTCATTTATTATTTTATTGTAAAAATAACTCAAAACAACTTGGAAAAATACCTATAAATTGCACACATAAGGTAAAGATAATAAAACTCGACCTCACTAAAAAAATTGAATTTTTTTTACTCGAATTGATTTCGAGTTACAATTTCATAATCTCGACTCAAAAAATTTCAAGTTTAATTCGAATTGTGAAATGTAACTCGAATAACTCGAAATATATAGTAATCAGTGGATTTATTTTCAAGTCGAGTTTTTGGACTTTATATAATATATGTATATCACAAATAAAGAAATATATTTGATTGTATATAGAGAAAATAACCTCAGTGACAAAAAATGTCTTATAATATACGATTTTAACCAATTTTTTTTTGATTTACCAAAATGACCAACTAAATCGTAATGCGATCGATAATTCGCAACGCGATCTCCGGTATCGCAAATCAGTTTCCAGATTCGCAACGCGAACTTCGACTATCGCATTGCGATTTACATATTCACATTGTGATAGTCCAAGTTCGCGTTGCGATTTATTCCAAGTTCGTTGCGATAGTCGAAGTTCGCGTTGCGATTTATTCCAAATTCGTTGCGATAGTCGAAGTTCGCGTTGCGATTTATTCCAAATTCGTTGCGATAGGATAGTCCAAAATCGCAACGACGGTATTGCATTTGTTTCTTAAGAATTTTCTCTAAAAAGATAGTATTCGCGCGGACGTGTCGAAGACACGTACGACCACGACCCGAGACGAGACGGACGGCGGCGGCGGCGGCGCGCGAGAGTCCCCCTTGTTCTCTATCACTCAACAAGGAAGTGGGAAAGCCAAACCTTAAATATCATTCCCAATAGTGTTTCCAATACTATGTGGGATTAAGCATTACCAACACTTGTTCCCAATACTATGTGCCTTAAATAGTGATATTATTTTTGAATGTTTTGCTTAAAATTGCAATAATCACGATTGATTGTAGATTGACTTTTAATTATGACATATTTAATCGTATAATACTAATGCAATTGGTTTCTGATTCAGTTGTTTTAAGGTGCATGATTGTTAATTGTTTCCTGAATAATCACATTGTATTGGAAACAAATGTTGGTAATGCTCAATCCCACATAGTATTAGAAACACTATTGGAAATGGTATTTAAGGCTTGGTTTTCCCACTTCTTTGTTGAGTGATAGAGAACAAGGAGGACTCTCGCGTGCCGTTGTTGCCGCCGTCTCGTCTCGTCTCGTGGTTGTGGTCGTGGTCGTGGTAATACGTGTCTTCGACACGTCCGCGCGAATACTATCTTTTTAGAGAAAATTCTCAAGAAACAAATGCAGTCGTTGCGAATTTGGAATAAATCGCAACGCGAACTTCGACTATCGCAACGAATTTGGACTATCACATTGCGATAGTCCAAGTTCGCATTGCGATTTACATATTCGCATTGCGATAGTTGATTATTGCATTGCGATAGTCGAAGTTCGTATTACGATAGTCCAAGTTCGCATTGCGATAGTTTAAGTTTGCATTGCGATAGTCGACTATCGCATTGCGATTTACATATTCGCATTGCGATAGTCCAAGTTCGCATTGCGATAGTCCAAGTTCGCGTTGCGAATCTGGAAACTGATTTGCGATACCGGAGATCGCGTTGCAAATTATCGATCGCATTGCGATTTAGTTGGTCATTTTGGCAAATCCAAAAAAAAATGGTTAAAATCGTATATTATAAGGCATTTTTGGTCAATGAAATTATTTTCTCTTGTATATATGGTTATAGAAAATCACTTAAATTAAAAACAAATAATTTTATAATATTATAAATATTTACAATTAAATTTAAATAGAAACTCGAAAATTCAACTCAGATCGACTCGACTTGAAAAAATTTCAAATCAACTCCGAGTTGTAAAATAGAACTCGTCAATTTGAATAATTTAAAAATTTTTAACTCGATTCGATCGAACACTCATATCTAACGTAGATTAATCTCGCTTTCTATAAAAAAAAACACTGTCAGACCTCGCGTTATGCTAAACATGAGATTCATCAACTTTTTAAATAACTTCATTTAATTTTTTAAATAAAAATCTCAATAAGTGCATAAAATTCATTTTTTTAAAAAAGCATAAAGTCCGACCTTGTTTTTCACCGAATACGAGGTCATCTTATACGGATAATTTAAAGAGTTGCTTTTCTAATCAATATTGTTTGAGAGTTGTCTTTTCTATAAAATAATAAATGAGGTTTTTCATTTAATAATACCTAGATATTAGCCATCCAGTCAAATAGTCTAATTTCCATAGATTCTATCAACTTGGTCCCATAACCTAATCCATTTTCAGTCTAAATTTTGATAATTTTAGGTTTATTTTATAAGCGGCATCTATTTTACTCTTCTCTTTTCTATTTTTTTCTATATAAAAGTTTAGGTTAAGGTTGATTCTCACAGTTAAGATCATGACATACCTAAAATCTAATTAAGAATTTATTTCTATATTTTTAATTTATTTTAAAAATATAATCATTATTTAATTAATTATTTTCAACTACAGATCAGGTGTGATAAATTCTAATTTGTATAAATTCAATTAACTAAATATATTATTAAGACAATAAATGATTTCTTATTAATAAGTTTATTAGTTATGAGGGTTTTCATAATTTTATTATATGTTACTTTTTTATTCATGGAATTGTTAGTTATATTTTTTTTATTAAGTTAAGGTGAATATAAAATAATATTTATTTTAAATATTCTCAATCATTTGACAATAAACGCTCAATCATCCAACTGCAGTTGTTAGTGCTCGAACCCCCTAACCTCTAAGAAAAAGAATAGTTCCTTTAACAAATGAGGTAAGTCAATTTCTACAATTGTACTTGTTAAATTAATAAAATTGATTAATTCTTAGAAAATTTTTAGAGAATACTCTTTAATAAAGTTTTTTTTTAACACTAAGAAAAGCTTATATATGTAAAATTGATTAATTCTGATAGAAAGGTTGAAGAGTTTTTATTATGCGTTATTTACAAACATTTGCAGAAAATTTTTTAATATCAAAATTGTAAAGACGAGCAAATATTTAAAGATGATTATAAGTTAGTATACGTTCGAAAGATTTTTAAATCACTTAACAATGAACGTTCAAACATCCCTAACATACAATGTACTCGAACTTGAAATTTCTAAAAATAACAGTCATTCCTTTAATTACTAAAATAATTTGATTCGCGTAAACATCTCTAAACCTTGAAGAGCCGTCCACTTGAAGTTATAATACTAAATTGTGGTTACAATCGCAATTATAGCTATAGTGTTATAACTAGTTAACTACAATTGTAGTTGCAGACGTAACAATAAGATATATATTCTAAAAATAATTATATTTTTATATTGCGGATACAATTTGTGGTGTTGTAGTGATCTTAAAATACGTTATAATACGACTGTTGCACTGTGATACGATCGTAGTTTAATAATTGATCGAGGTTTATGTAGATGATTTTTTTAGTTATTTTTGAAATTGCTCGTGAGTTTTTCAAGTATGATATTAAGTAACTCACTTTAATTCGTTAAAAATTTGATTTGAGCTCGAGTCGAGTTTATTCGATTTGAGCATTTATCGATCTATAATCGAGATAAACTCAAATAACTCAAAATCTTTATCGTCTTTTTTACTATCCTAATTCACATACATATTTACTTAGAATTTTTATTATTTATTGATAATATATATATTCTATAGATGTAACTGTTCTAATTTATCATCTCAAAAATATTAACATTATTTTCTACCATTGAAACTATTTAATTAGTTGTAAATGGATATTTTTTTTAATTATAGGATAACTGGATAAGTTTAATTTTTAACAAACATTGCGTTTGAAAGCAAATAAAAGCCTTATAAATTATAAAATTTAATTTTAATTTATTATTTTAAGTTTAAAAGATTTTTTTAGAAACAGTCTTATATGTGTATCAAGTCTTTCTACTTCTTATTTGGATTGCAATTTGCAGTGCCTTTTCTCTCCCAAAAACAGGAAAAAAAAAAGGACAATCTTTTTTCCCTTCTGAAAGCACTCTTACAAGTGAAAGAGAGTAAGAACCAAGTTTGCGTTTTGCTCACTCAGTTTGAGCTCAGTCTCTTTATTTACAGGTCAAATTATCTAAGTTTCTTTCAATTTCATGCTATTCTGTTTTGTTAATGGTGATCATAAACTTTACCGATTCCGATCGTCCACGATCGGCGATTCGGATCGCCGGTTATTCATTCCGGAAATCACAGGGGGATTTAGCCTTTTTCCGGTAAAACTGGTCCATGTAGAAAAACCAAAGGGCCCTTGTCTATTTTTTTTCACCTACCTCTTATCAAATTATCAAGCTTTATTCTTTTTGCGAGAGAAAAAAAAAGAAATAATAATATTTTAATCATTTAGCCCCTCAG